AAAAAAAAAAAAAAAAAAAAAAAAAAAGAAAAAGCAAGCAAGCAATCACGATCAGGCATAACACCGTCAGCCAACGCTGTTTAAATTTCCAGAGGTATTAGCCAGCATTATTATATGGAAGATATTCTTTTCTCCTGCTTATCTAATCAATGCTTAAAGGCTTAACTTTCACAGTAAGAGCGAAATCTAAAATTTCAGATCACCATTGGGTGCGTTCTTATCTGCTATCACTCCTGAGGAGTTAGCTCTGCTTTTATGTTACTTTCTGGAAATTCTCAGTTAAATTCTGCAACAAATATTAACATCTAAAGTGGAGTGAGTTATCAATCTATTAAATAATGCAGTTGCTAAAGCAATAACTAATAGAAATAATCCCTTACTGGTAAAGACCATTATTGGTTTCATACTGATAATTAATTGGCAGGTTGTATTATCAAACTACTTGGTATTTACAGACAATTATCTTATCCAGAATACTTCCTGTATTAATCAGGGTTCTCTAGATTCACAGACCTCACGGAATGGACCTCTTTCTCTCCCTCTATATATATGAAAGGGGAATTCATGGGAATGACTTACTAATCCAACAGTGGCTGGCCGTGAATGGAAAGTCTTAGCAGTTGCTCAGTCCCGCGGGGCTGGGTGTCTCAGCTGGTCTCCTCTGTATGCTGGAATCTGGAAGAAGTCTCCCCAATGCCAGTGATGGATGTATGTACTGATGAGGCAAGGGCAGGCAGGCGAAGAATGAACCCTTCCTTCTCCCACTGTCCTTATACAGACTTTCAGCAGAAGGTGTGGCCTTCCAGCCTCAAGGTCTGGATTAAAGGGGTGTGTCTCCCCATGACAAGATCCAGACCAAAGGTGTGTTCCCCCAGCCTCAAGATCCAGACCAAAGGCCTGTTGTCTTCTCACCTCAAGATCTGGATCCCAGGTGGGCCCTCCATTTCTGAATTGTAGCTCATTTCAGATATAGTCAAGTTGACAACCAAGAACAGCCACCGTGTTCCCTCTTAAAATTTCTAAAGATATCCGGGCGGTGGTGGCACACGCCTTTAATCCCAGCACTCAGGAGGCAGAGGCTGGTGGATCTCTGTGAGTTCAAGGCTACCATGGTCAAAAGAGCAAGTTCCAGTATAGGCTCTATAGCTACAGAAAAATCCTGTCTTGAAAAACAAACAAACAAACAAACAAAAACAAATAAAAGAAAAGAAAAGAAAAAAATCCATGATTATTGCCTAAAATTACATCTAAAAATACTATAGTTTTAGGTTTTTTCAATCTAAAAAAGATTGCTTTTGTAGCTAACTCTTCAAAAAGACAAGGAGCATATACACTGCATATGAATTCCACGTGTCCCACAAAGATTGTACCCATCCCAGGTGATAAAGCTCAAGAATCTAAGCTCGCTACAGTCAATCAGCTTTTATTAGATGTTTCTCAACCATTGGCTATTTTACCTGACTCTGCTGTTTATGTAAATTTGGATGGTTGTCTGTTGGATGGACTAAGGAAGAATCAGCACCTTCCAGTCATGATGGGTAGCTTTGCACCCCCAGTCTGCACACGGCACCCAAAATGGCTATCCTGAAGAGAGACGGAGGCTCAGCATTAGCTGACCTCAGATGTAAATCTGAGGGACATGAAGGGCGGAGATGCCCTGAGAATGGAAACGGACCTAGCTCGAGAGAAATGAATATTGCGGAAGGATTGTAAGTGTAGAAAGGCATAGAGGAGGGAGGAAACATGGGAAGGAGGCACCTGAGGATGGAGTCTACTTTAACAGGGCTTTGCAACGGATGGGGCATGAAGGGTTTGGAGATAGAACTGGGAAGGAGACAAAAGTGGAAAAGAGGCTTAATGTGTTCCTTCAGCTGCTTCCTTGCTACGATAATAAATAAAGACGATCTCACTGAAACATGACTGTGGCACTGAACTTCTGGCACCTCTGTCTCCCTAGAAAACGCTAGCAGGGAAAGCCTGCCTGGGAGGAAAGCCGGGAACAGCTGTGGCTGCCATTGGTAAAAGACAGCACCTATAAAATTTCTTAGTCCTAACGAACCCTCTGTTTATTATTTCTATCTTGTTTTTAGGCTAAGGAGATGATGGCAAGTTTCCATGATATTTTGAATTAGAATGGATTTTTGTATGGTAAATTCCGAAGGTTGTAAAAGTATACTCAGGTTAGCAATTAACTTAGCGATGTGTGCCTAAAACTGTAAAACCCTAATCCTACAAAAGCTACTAACTTGTTTTAAACTGTTACCTTATAAAGGATCAAATTCTTTAATGTGCTCAAAGCTAAATTTGTAGTCATACTAAGTATAAATATGATTTCATTTAAAAAGACAATCTTTGGACTTCTATATATGTTTTCAAGGATACCCGGAAGACAGGCTTGGGGTCCTTGTGATACCAGGATCTTACTCTACCCTAAGGATCCCCAGTCCTCATGATTTCTGATAAGTGAATTCAGACAATAGCCACAGAACATATTGCTGAAGACAGACAGAAATAATTCGATGAGTTCTTGAGGGTGACATTGGGCAATGGCCAAGGAACTTCTCATGGTGATGGACAGTGGCCAAAGGCACCATTGTGCTGACCATCATACTTAGGTAGTTGCTATTTATTTCTAAAACTTTCTGGGATAGACAGCTTTACTGAGAGATGGTTTTCTGCCTAGGTGGTTGACAGTCCCATTTGGACCAACTCTTATGGGCAGAGGCAGTGGAACACCTTTGTTATTTACTGGGAAGCCCTGGCTAGATTGGTATCTCAGTTCAGAATGTTGTGTTTCCACCCAGAACCAGAGAGATACTCATGCTCCATCCTTTGACCAGTTAGCAAGGACCTGCTTCTGTTGTTATCCAAGCTGCTGCTGAGGAAGGGGAGTCCTGAGGGTGGCTAGACAAACCGGCTAACTTGTTCCTAAAAGCCCCTGGTACATCAATTACTCTGCTACCTCACTCCCCATACCCAGTCCCTCCAAGTTCAAGCCAAGTTTGTCCTGCTTTGTCTTCCACAATTTCTCTTTCAGCTGGAGTTAGGTCGAAATCCTCTTTTTGATGAACTGAGTCTTTCTGAGTCTAGTGCCATGGCACAGGCCTGGGAAATCTCGTAGCCTGGATCTGTTTGTGGGCTCCCTGCCTCCTCTGCCCAGGTTTTCTGAACCAGTTCCAGGGCGAAAGCTTTCTGGCTAATGGCCCACAGTGCGATGCTCCCTCCCCAATGGAAACCAGTCACATCAATGGTATAAAATTATTTTATTGGAAAATAAAATGAAAGTGCATTGAAAGAAATAAAAGTCAGCAAAAATGGTGTACATCACTTAATTTGATGTGTGTTGTCCTCAGTGTGATGGAGGGCCAAGGTTTCTAGAATATTTCTTCCTGTAGGAGAGACTCAGCTTGTTAGATAATAACTGCTACAACTTAGTTTTTTTCCAAACATTCATTGACAAGAAAATCAATGTCAGTGGTTCAGAGTTTACCAAAGGGCTGGGGTCATGACCTCTCTCAGGATTGCTAACCCAGAAGAACAGAATCTTCCGTATCATGTGCTCTGTAACAGAACACATCTCCTTGGAATGGTCATGCTTTCACGGTACACATTCAGAAGGGAGGGTAGTGCTGTGGGGTCTGGGTGTAGCACTCCTGGCAGGAATGAGGCTATTCTAAAGAGAGACACTTGTACCCCTCTCTTTGACAATCAGGTATAGGGACAATGGACCCCCAAGGAACTGGAACTCCCCCCAGGAATCCCATGAAGGGGGATAGGAAGGCTGAATTCCAGGTGTCCATCAGAGATGGACACCTTCTCTCCCAGGATGAACCCTGCCAGCTTGTCAGTCTGCCTTTCTTGAAATACGGTTGTTACTCCATATGGTCTGGCACAGTTTTTCAGGTTACGCCTTGCCCTCAGTGACTCTGTTTTGTAAGTAATGGCTGTCTTCGTTTTGAACATGGAGGATGGCTACACTGAGATGGCCATATGAACAACACTGTGGGTCCCTAGCCGAGCATCAGAAACTGGCGACTGAACTCCTAAAAGCAGAAATGCTGCCATCTTATGCATTTATCCCAGTGGATTGGGACCACATGATGAGTACATGGGTGTATTAAATTCATATTAATATAACCAAGCCCGAGAACCTCTTGAACACCAGACTGAGAACAGGGCACAGCTTCCCAGACCCCATAAAGAGGTGGACATCTAACAAAGAGACAGTGACAAACTCCATTGACTTCATCAAACCATCCAACGCATGCATCAGGGCCCCAACAGGCAGATAGCTCCTAGACAACAGGCAGACAGCTCCTTGACAACAGGCAGACAGTTCTTAGACAACAGCAGGCAGACAGCTCCCAGACAACAGGCAGACAGCTTCCAGACAACAGACAGACAGCTCCTAGACAACAGACAGGCAGCTCGTAGACAACAGGCAGACAGCTCCTAGACAACAGGAAGACAGCCCACCAAGACATGGCTTATTATTTTGCTGCACATTCATTCACCTGGCCCCAATACTGCCTGTCACCTCTATCGCCTCCAGCACATGTTGCTTCTGCAGGTCAGCTCTGACCTTGTAGCCTGGTTCTATGGCTCTGCATCAGCAGCAACAGCCACAGACCCGAAGCTTGGTTTGTTACCTTATTCTTGAGGAGATTCTCTAGGCATCCCTATGAGTTTCTGCATCTCAGGCCCCTTTGAGACTCCGAGGGCTGTGCTAGAGCCTCTTTAGCCTCCGTAGTCATAGCTTAGACTAAATACATGTGTATATGTAGATACAGATATTTGCCATGTAATATGAAATATGTTCTCTGAGAGTTAGAAAGAAAAACAATTACCAAACTGATGCCCCTTGTGAATTTGTTGTTACTCACTGTGATCTGACATTGTGGAAAGACACTCTCATATTTGCCTATGCTTCTAGAACAGTGTGTTCATGACAACCTGAGAGAAGAGCAGACCATCGATGAGTCAGTAACCAACAGGGCTATACTCTGACTAGGACAGCTTACTTATGTGACTTCTCGCCTTTATTCAGACCCAAACCTTGTAGCAGTACCCAGGAAATCAGCCTGGGAGCTTACTGTGCCTCTTTATTTGCTCTTTGTTGCAGTGTGGCCATATTAAATAAATCGTATTCTCTTGCTTCTCACGGCCACCTGTCTCTTTAATTGGCCTCTCAAGCTTCTTAGGTCTGACAGAGCTGAGGCTTTGGCCTCAACAACTCAGTCATCCTATGACTGTTGCTTCCTTGCTCCACTCCGTCAGCTCATCCTCTTTACAGTAGCTGTAAGGTTCCCAGCTGGAGGATCTCAGGCTGAGGTAGGAAGGAGACTTACAGTACTCTGTACCGTTCAGGGTGGATTTACATCTAAATCTAGGCCACCAGATGAAGACTGTGAACACACGCACCCCTTGAAGGAACCAAATTGTAACGAACACACATGGATCTTCCAAGAAATGTGGGTTTTTTTTTGTTGTTGTTGGTTTGTTTGTGTGTGTGTGCTTGTGTGTGTGGTGTGTGTGTGTCTGTGTGTGTGTGAATTGCTTCTGACATGGAAATTCTGAGAGTTCCAAGCAGCCTCACCGGATGCCAGCCTGCTTTGCCCTTCTACTTCTCCAGCAGTGTCAGGGAAATGGAGTTCCTTCTGAAAAAGGACTTGAATCCTAACCCAGTAACTTTAAAAACAAGACATCCATTTTTAGTTAATTAGGAAATACATTTACTGCTCTTGGGGCTCGGACAC